ACAATATGCAGATCGATGCAGTCGTTCCGTAACTCTGTTATCCGTTCGTCGGCACGGATGCACAGATCTATAAAACTGCGCAGATCCCTGGGACACTCGGGAGCGTATGACAGGTGTGTTTTGATATCCGATGACAGTCCACCTTTGAAAATAAAGATTTTAGCTCCGTCGTTCCAATCTGTGTCGGCTGATAAACGCAGGAACTCGGTAGCATAATCTGCGCAAGAGCGTTGACCTTGCTCGAAGTTCTTTAATTGCGCTTCGGCAGAGCGCTCTCTGTCAGGATCATCAAATTGTCGTCGGAATAGATTGATAAACTCTGGCAACGAGTTTAGAACTGGGTCATTGGCCGCGAGTAACGGAGTCGCCCATTCTGCAGCAGGATCTGTGAGTAGGCTGATCATGAATCCGACTCGCGCTTGGTCGGATGGAAATTGCGTGGGGTGCATCCTCATGACCAAATTGCATTGGCTGACAAAAGTTGTGAATTTGGAGCGATCTCCGTTATACCTGTCAGGGGGAGGTATGTTCAACGTAGCCTGAACTTGTGGGATACTGCGCTCCGCGCGCAGGGATGCGATTTCGTTCTGCATGTTTTGAATGACATTCTGGAGGGCTTGCACATAGTTTTCCATGGTGGGATTTTGAAATAATAAGGTAAAAAGTAAAAGGAAAACAAGAGTAAACAAACAGGTGGTTCAAGAAAATATGAGTTTTATCAATGTGTTACCCGATTCCAACTAGTACAAGCACCTGGTCTTTGCCTCGACTTCCCTCTCGATTTTATAGTTTCTAACACAATGCAATAGTGCTGTATTGACCATCAATTGTTTTGGTATTGCTGGATATACCTGGGCTGATTTTAACCCGAATATCTAATACACAATTAAAACTATATATTAAGCCAATTTACGAATTTACTGGTAGCATATATGGACAGTTGCATCAATAGTATGGGGTGTTGTCAATATCACTGTAGTTGTCAACTGGAATTTGTATGCCAGCAGACTAAAAACACTGGTTCGAGATTGTTGACATGGTCATTGTGTTCAAACTCGTTGACAATATTATACACAAACGTGTACATCTAATGCAATGGTTCAAACTTTTAATGGATGTTTGCTTGAAACTGATCTGGATCGCTATATCAACAATTGGATATGAATGGCAGATATACAATTTGATTTTCATTTCTGCAGTGTTCATCTATTTCAAAATCAAATAATGAAACTATTCAAAACTATAGTATCTCATATGGACTATTGGTAGGCACTCTGTAAGTTTGACTCGCTACATCAGTAGTTTGTTCTTTCATGTTGTTTCCATCATACTCTGTTTCCATCTGCACTTGTTGCAATAAACTTCTAGGCTCGACGTAACTCGTCAATAAAAACGTATAAATCTCGATCGCATAAATCATGGGAGGCATGTACCATCCAGAAAATGTAACATGCGTCGGATCATATAGGAATGAATGCACTGCAAATCCAGCAACAATGATGTTGAGTCCAAATATGACAATAAATCGAGGACCTTCCCGTTTTAGCAAAACTTGATACACGAATCCTTTTCCTGTAAATCCAATGGATTTGCAGAGTGACCAGAGAAATGATATTGATGCCAACGATGTAAACAGACCTTGTAATACGAATGTGAATGCAAACAACTCGCGAGTAAGCTATATATGCAGTAGTTGCAAAAAAACATGGTTGTTAATAAAGTTGAAATGGCATGTTTAATACTTGGACTCGATATGACTTACTCCAATCAGCGGACTGGAAAAAAATATGGAACTTTGATCTGCAACGACATCAACGTTGGATAGTATTCCGAGAATATTGGCTGGCACAGAAAAACAAAAGGTCGCAAACCCAATAAATGACAGTAACCATAACGACAAGGATGATCCCGAATGAAATACTCGTAATCGAACCACCATGACAGCAAGCTAAACATGCCATTGAATATCAACAAGTCAGAAATAAACACAACATGCAAAATGAACCAATATTTGCCATAGTTGGTACTTGCCAACGATGTACTGGTTAGAAAGTTGGCACAAATTGCAAAAATCGTAACCCATGCCATGGAATGATTGGCAGTCTCATACGGCGATATCGTGTAATCCAGCAACACAATCTGTAAAATTGACTGCAGCATACATAAACTCCATGCCACAACAGAAATCTGGAATAGTGATGTGATCCACGAGGTTTTGGATGCGGAAACTAGAAAAAAGAAGGTTGATATGAGCTCATGGAGCGCGATTCCTAGAAATATTGCAGATGGTGTAGCAAATGCAGACAGTGTACGTTCAGGAATTTCAGTGCTGATATGAGTGGTCTTGAATGGCTGATATCAAGTCTTGAACAGACAGTGTTGTTTCTGGCGTTGAAGGATGATTTCTGGTTGTCGAATGTGGAGGTTAACTAGTCGGATTGGCAACTCTGATGGAATGCTAAAAGTAAAGTAACTGGGCAGTGATTCAATGATTTATTCATGGTTATAGGGAACAACTGCTGCAAAGGATGGAGAAACTACAGATACAGAGTGGTCAAGAATGTTTGTAGATGTGAATTGGCGTGGATATTGGGTCAAGTTTATCTTGCGCGTTCCAACTTTGCATATTGCGAATAAACTCTGGTGAATCGGTAATGGCATATGAAATATCAAAAACACAATTAGTAAATGGAAATACAACAGGTCAAATAATGCATGGTGTTGCTCTTCACAATAATGACACATGGGTAACCAACTATTCATAGTCTGAATCAAGTGTGATGATGCAAAACCTCAAATATCTTCAAACTCACTATTCAAAACTCCAGCATCGGCTAGTCTATGCATTCATGTTTATTCTGGCTGTATCTCATTCAAAATGCTGACAAAAACTAAACAAGGCTGGTCTCGTAGCATCTTGACTCGAGTGTGTATATCAAATCATACCACTCGTTGCTTGTGAAAATACCGGAAATTGTGTAATTGGTATTCTAATTTGACAATCTGGCTTGAACAACTGTTGAGCAGTCTGTAACTTGGTGTTTCATTTGACAACCCAAGTTCAGCTTTGGAAACATGTCAAGTGCATACTTTTGTAGCAACGCTGCATTGCAAAGTACACAACTATCAAGCAACTTGTTCAATCTAGTAGTGATACTGTTCAGCATGATACAAGTGTTTAAAATTACTTTCAAGTTGTTGAATGGTTGACCAACACACCAGAGATTTGGCAGTCGTGTAATTGAAATGTGGTATTTCACTGTCGAGTTCAGTTGGCCAAGGTGTGTACTGGATTGCTGCAGATACACTCACTGACCAAGATATTCCATGAATATCACAATGACAAATGCCAGATTGTTGTATCGACAGTTCGAGCATTACCTATTTACAGATTAGTGCACTGGATCTTGAACAGTAAGCAAAATGTGCAACTCATCACAATCGATACATGACATGTAAAATATCCATTGTACAATACACCATGTTTTTTTGGCTTGGATGCATATCCACCAATCAATATCAGATGTATGCCAAAACATATCTGTTTATTCAACAATACCATTTTTGTCAATCAGCATAATGCAACATCTTTACCGCCGTGCAAACCCTGACCAGACATATCACTGTTGGATTTGATGAGTGGATCAGTTCCAGTGGTTTGATCTAGTTCAAGAACAGCAAGACAATGCCATGAATTACAAGTTATTTCCGCTCCATCAACAACAAAGTGGAAAGTAAGGAGTTGATGGTCGACTGGAATACCAACAAGCCTGTCTTGTAAGCAGCTACCAGGTCATCAACATTCATCAATAGCTCATTTATATCCAGTTTTCTGATAAAGTGAATTACAATTATAGCTGGTTGTCCTTGCTGAATAAAATCAACATTTTGGTTTCAAAAGACTCGATACAAGAGTCAAGACATGCTATTTGTATTTGTCAGTAGAAGTTACTATATCATATTTTGAATCAATTACTAAACAGGAGGCTGAAAGGATGGAAAGCCAACTGGAACTGGTATTTACTTGTGGAAAATCCAAACTGGTCGACCACACCAGTATCCAATGTATAATAGATACGAGGGTGTGTTTTTCAAAACTCCTGTGTAGTTTGAAAGAGTCGCGATCCACTGATGTCAATCCAACCATCTGTATATTGTAGGCAAATGGCTAGATGGAAAAAGACATGGATACGGTGTTTTCCAATATTCTAGTGGTGCAACCTATCAAGGAGAGTGGGTGCAAAACAAAAAGGCAAGCATATGCTACATTTGATTGACACAATGCCAACTATTGCAATATAAAGTTGGATATAGCTGACTATAAACACACTGACAGCATGGAAAAGGAAAATACATTTCTGAATACGGCCGTCAATACATTGGTGAGTTTCAAAATGATCGCCCAGTTGGTAATTTCGAGCGGTTTTCAAACAGTAAGCTTATATTTTTGAAATCTATACTTGCAAAAGTTGTACGCTAGTTTGAACTTTTATACTTTTGATTACAATCCACAGATTTGCCGTACTTGTTTTTGGCTACATCTGAAAATTTGGAGCATGCTTCAACTTCTGGAGCAGTTATCAAGGAAATTCACGATATCATCAATCGACATTATGGTAAAACTATATTATGGGTTTCTGCTAGCCAATTATGTTGTAGCAGCTGTATTAGTTGGCACAATGCAGTTTTTGACTTGTAGTTTTTAGATTTGTTGTGCCAGACCTATACCCACTATAGCAAGCCAGCAATAGATTTGGATAACCCAAAACATGTGTTGACTCGAGAAAGTATGTGGCAACTTTTTGCAGATATTGGAATAGTTCAGCAGGGAATCACATTTGGTAAGGTTGTTTTTGGTTTGATTGTCGGTGACTTTTAATCCAAATGCACTTGGTGTTCATGTTACCAGAAAAGTACATGTATTGACTCTGAATAAATAGCGGATCTAAATCGCGCATTTGCCAAAGAGTTTTATAATCATCCTTTTTTTGGAGAACGCTATCAGGTATTGATTGTTCAAATCATTTGGATTGGCTGTTGTAAATGCTACAGTTTACCAACATTTGGCCATGCGTTCAATTTGGTAGGATCCGCATAACTCGCATGAGCAATTTATTCTACACGACTTTTACGAGTGGTTATTGCTTGTAAGCAACTACGTATATAGAAACAGTCCTCGACTATCTATTCACGAACATGGACAAGCTGCAACACTAGCTTATCTGATAAAGCAGAATTTGATTCCAAAAATGCATCAATTGGAATTAAGCAAACAGTCCACCCCAACAAAATATGAGTTGTTTATGCGGTTGATTCACGAGGTAGTGATTTCAAGCTACAATATGTTACTGTATACGCATTTTTTGATTGGTTTAGTATACTGAGTATAACTATTTCACGTAATATACTAGCATTTCCAAGACAATTATAGTCGAGAGGTTGAGCAGCTGTACATTCAGTGGGCAAAAACTCATTCCAAAGCATTGCCAAAATCCAAAAAAGACAAGACACTCAGCATCAGAGAGTTGATTTTAGTGCTCAAGGTAAAGGATTGCTTTTTTGTCAAAGTATTGATAAATAGGTGTTTCAGGTGGACAACTAAACTTTAAATGTTGTGTTTGATGGGTTTAGGATTACAATATTCTTGCAACTCTAGCAGCACAAATCACTATTTCTTTTGTAATTCAACATTTTTCAAAATCAATTCCAAACGTAGCTGATTCATCAAGTTGTTGCTTGTATTGACTTGCAATATGGCTATAGTATATACAAATACATGCTTGATTACAATGTAAATGGTAGTGTTGTGATAAACCTTGCTGTCAGGAACTACTTAATTGCGAGTGAATTGGGACAAAATCAGGTGCCTGTACTTGTAGGTAATCAAAGTAATTTATTGATAAAACTGGGGAAAAGAAATGAAAAGTATGGTATGTTTAGACCTAAAAAAGAGCACAGTCATCGGAGGTGGTACCATAATTGGAGAAGGTTACGTCATTAGAAATCATGGATAACCAAGGTTGTGATCATCACACTTGTGCTCCACTAGTGGAGACACGCTCAGAGCCTGTTGATGAACCGGTGTGCCAGGGTAAAATTGATTAAAACAGCCCATAAAAATCTGGCTTGCTAAAAGGCGTTTTATGCACCTATCAACCCGTCCAAAATCGAAGTCGAAAATATCAAAAAAGATTCCTGAAAGTTTTTGTTCGGTTAAACGCATCTTCTCGTACAAAACAGAATGTTGGTCAACGCATATTTCCTGCTGGTTTTCAAGGTTTGCAAGAGCAGCATTCCCATCTTGAATGAGTGACAGAGTTTCCGTATAGTCTGGACTACCATCACCTGCCTTAGTTTTAGATACTGACCTGACTTTTCCACGCAGGAAAATTAACATTGTTTTTTGATTAGTAATTTCTGCTAATAGCGAGCTGAACTTTTCACCCATTAGCTCAACATCATATTTCGCTTCTGCATATCCTTTGATCGCCTCTTTTGTTTCCCTTGAATAATCACCACAATTAACCGAGTTTACATCTAAACCAGTAAATGTCGAAGTGCTGGGATAAGTAGTTGCAGTTGCAGTGTAAATAGCTGTGGAACTAGATCCAAGGTTTGCAGTCGCGCTGGGATTAACTGGAGTAGCTGTAGTAACTGAACAAGCAATCAGCGTTGATGACAATACAGCAATCAGTAACTTCATCATAGTAGTTTGGTTGAGCAAGTTGTAAATGATTGTCATTCAGCAAGTTGCTTTTTGGATTGCATTTATATCAATTATTGAATGAATGGTATTAAAAGCATGTTCCTCGAATGGCCGTTCCAAGGGACTATTGTTGATGTCAGGGTTGGTGTTAATTTACTATTGTTGGTGTCAAAGCAACTTTAAAGGGATATCCATTCATGCAATGATCCGTAATACTGGTTGGGCTGATGCTTAATTGTGCGCTCAATTGTTTATGGCTGGTTGATTGCGCATCTTCCATCCTTTTCCACTCTAAAGTGGGACAGTATGTCACAAGATAGGAAAGCAAGTTGGGTTCAAAATAATGCCGCATAGCTATATGTAACTGAACTGACATTCAGTCGATATGACGGTCATCAATGTGTTGTGATATTGTATGGTTTACAATCACAGTTGATTGACATGATTCAAACATGTGGTTTGGTGATACTTTGCATTCAATTCGGCACAATCAGTCATCGCTGCATATTGTCCAGTAATTCAATCAATCAACTGAATCAATACAATATAGTCCATGTTGCAATCACAATGTCACATTGATGATCAGTGACTTGCAACTGTTGTGTTGGCATTGCATGTTGTGTGTTACTATATCAATATCGATTGTCACTATATAGCTGTATCAACCACACATCATGATCATATGTCATGGTTGACTTGTATTCTGGATTGATGCACTCACTCCATCACTTGAGAAACTCGTTGTATGACTTGTATGTATACTGCAATTTGATCCAGACATTTGACATCACAACATGGTCCACATACAACCTGATTGTGATGGTAATTGTCGACCTGATTATCGATCTGATTGTCGTGTCGGTATACATGTCGAGTATGTACATTCGAGTGATCAAGCCATACATGTATATGCATACAATACATACAATACACACCAGTTGCGTTGATCAGCATGTGTCAACTGGTCAATATCGTCAACCTGGTTATACACGCACTTGACATGTGCATCTGGACAGTGATCATTGTACAATCCATACTGTTGTGCAAACCATATATGACCAGTCATGTCAAGTATCCAATCAAACATCCAACCAGGAATACAACCAAAATTGAGTAGTCCGAGTATCGATCAACAACTGCAATCAATATCAAATTACCATGCACAATCGATTGCAGTCCACACCAGTTATAGTTGATCACACATGTCACACATACCACAATGTATGCTGCATTTGAATACATATCATGATGGTCAATATCAACCACACACAGCTGGCACACGCATGACCAATGACGGCACTCGACGACCACAACGATCGATACCAACCATATCGAGTGAGTTGATACATTGCATTGACACTGGATATGCGATATCAATAGTGTAATATGATATACTCGCTGTAGTATACCAATGACTCGCCATTTTTGAACGAGTCAAACTGGTCGAGTTGATCAGATCTGATATCAACACACAACTATTTTGTTAGTCTCGGTATTCTACTTGATACATGATGTGTAAATACGACTTGCCAACTGATATTATATCAACAAAACACATGCATGTCATAATCATCAATTTGTACAGGCATGCAATATATAACCAACTGTATTTAAAATACAAGTGTCAAAGTACAATGATATCAGCAAGCATGTTGATCAAGACTGGAATGATCAAATTCAACACATGTGTGTTCAATGCACTGTAATGTAGTGTAGTGTATTTATTACAAGTTGAATCAGTAATGCGGTTGTAGAATGACAGTCGATTAGATTAGAACCAGTTCGGATTAGCACTTGAATCAATAACTCGCGATCTTCATTTCAAGACCGACTCAAGAACGATCGACTTTCCATGCAAGACTGGATGAAACTTTTCGCACACTAGATGCAGTTCTCCGTAGAGTGGATGAAGCTCTCTGTAGAGTGGATGAAACTCTCCGTAGAGTGGATGAAGCTGTATGTTGACTGGGTGGAACACTGGAAGATGTTTGAGTAGAATGAACTATAGATGGACTCATCGATGACGATTCGGTAACATCAGGATCTTCCAAGACCTTGGGGAACTTTTGAGGGTTGCGTATTACTTCTTGATACGATGGAAGTTGATCATCCGGGCCCTGTTGAGTTACTTTATAGAGTTTAGGTTTCCCCATTACAACTTCATACGATGGTGGTGGACCATGAAGTTGTGATGAACTTTGCTGTCAAGAACTACTTAATTGCGAATGAATTGGGACAAAATCAGGTGCCTGTACTTGTAGGTAATCAAAGTAATTTATTGATAAAACTGGGGAAAAGAAATGAAAAGTATGGTATGTTTAGACCTAAAAAAGAGCACAGTCATCGGAGGTAATACCATAATTGGAGAAGGTTACGTCATTAGAAATCATGCATCACCAAGGGTGTGGTAATCACACAATCATTGTCTCGACTTGACACGATCACATCAAACTTGTATACATGACTGACCTGATTATGTAACCATTCAAACACTGTCAAATCGTGTATACACACATGTTCAGATTCCATTTGGATTGTTGGTCAGTACAACTCAATTGTTGCAAACCATCATTGCAATGTCATTCAGTCCTGATCAGTCAATTGTTGGATTTGTAAATGTGTTACAAACATGCTGAATCTGACATGTGAATGGTGATTGTTCCAATCAATAAATGGATTGGATTGATTGAAATATTGTCATTGATCACAATCACTGTTGACCAATACACTGTAATATACTCGATCATCAGTCGACTCTGCATATATCAACTAGTTGCAACACGTCATAATCAATGTGGATTGTATTGTCCACCAATCGATCATGACAGCTAATCAATACCAATCATGTAGTCAATACAATCACCAACATATTGATGATTGTTGACTAGCGGTTACAACTCGTCAATTACATCCAATGTTACAGGTGATGCACATCTGATTACTGCAAATCAACAACTTTTCAATCAAATCATAGTGTGCATTACCAACAGACCATGCAATTACAAATCAATGTATATGTGATCAGCATTTGATATTTGATGGTGATGAGTCAACCATGATTGATTGTATCATACAACTAATACAGTTGCATTGTCTGGTATTGATGATCAACCCAGTCATGTCAAACAATAACCAATGCGTGTATATCGAGTTTGGGTTGCATGGACACATCAAGGTGCTTGATAAAGAGTCCAACGTGATGATACAAACCCGAGATTATATGAATATCCAAGTTGATGAATCAAGTCGAGGTTTGCAAAGTGTCAATGTCAGGTCAATCAAACAAGTCAGTCAATCATTATATGGTGACTAGTGATGGCACGGTTTGAATGTCAACGAGTTGGACAGTCGACAATATGGGTGATTGTGATTTGGTCAAACCGTAACACTCGCATACCACGGAGTCGGTTTGGTGTGTGTGGTGTAAGCAATATGCATAAACTTGTTGATATCATGGACTATAACCAATATACATCACACATATACAGTGGTAAACACCAACGTGTGATGTATCCAGTGATCGTATACTGGCTGATTGGTGCAATATGATCATGTCACATACTATTGTATTGGTGGCAATGTGTTGTTGAACAGATGAGATCCAGAGTGTTTGCAACATAAATGAAGTGGATGTACAACATTGCTTGTGCCGTCATGTAATGATATCGCCTAGAATATATTGTGTAGCGACATCATAGTGCGACAATATACTCTGGTCGCTAACCCTGATATCAGGGTTTAAATCAAGCAACGGACGGTTGTATAAAGGGGATCCCTTTAAAGTTATATTGACATTCATAGCAGTAAATCAATGCTAACCCCGACAACACA